GGAGGTGAGGGTCATCTGGTTTCAGATGTAAAATAAGTAAGAAATTGGCCGCCGAAAATTAGTTTTTTCTTTAGCTTGAGAATCCGTGGAAACTGAAATGTACATTTTTGTGCCTTTAATCAACGTTTTTCAGTAAAAATCCACGTAGAAATGTGTTCTTTAATGGGCAGGAAAAGTGTTTAACCAAAAAACAACAACAACAAAACATCGATAAAAATTCAAAAACCGACAGAAAAATGCTAGTTTCTTCATTTGTATTACTTTGACGAGAACCTGATTTCACCACGCTGCCTCACATATTTTTGGATCAGTGTCATTTTAGATAACTGAAGTCTTGGCAAGAATCTAGTATGTAAGTGCACTTTGTGTGTGCACCTCGCCATCAACTTCTGATACCTTCTTCTTCCTTTGGGGTTTCTCTTTTTGCCTGTATGTCTGTCTGACACCCTTCTCTCTCTCTCTCTCTCTCTCTCTCTCTCTCTCTCTCTTTCCCCAATCGATTTGTTTGTTGTTTGTCTTGCCCTTCCCCATGGATACCGAGGCTGCTGGCCTAAGTGCCCTTTTGATCCAGCCATAGATTGAGATGATGGGCGGTGTCTCTCTCTGACTCCCCTCTGTGAGAGTTTAATTGATACCATTGATCTCCAGTTGGGGAAGTGTTATTGTAGGGGTAATTACTCCCATCTTGGGAGGGAATGAATTGAGTGCAAGTTATTATTGTCTGCTCACTGTCTTGTTGTGTTTTGTATGTGTGGACTGACATTCTTTGAGACTAGGTGGAGAGATTGTCTGCTGCATACATACATCCACAGGAAAATTGATTGCAGAGCTTTTATTTAAGCTCTTAACGACAAGAATTTAAAAAGGTTTGGGCTCACCTCAGAGCAGTGGAAATGTGTGGGTCTTTGAACAAATTCTTTAGTGTTGCAGCTTTTTTTGACTCGTTGGAACATGTTCCAGATCAATGAATCTTGTTGGAAACTTTTTGTGTGCTTGTGAACCTGATCTTTTCCTATATGTGTGTCTGTCTGTCTCTCTCTCTCTTTTTCTTGTTAGCTTGCTCAATACATTTTGTGAATATTATTAGATTTCAAATTTACCCCCC